GTATGGGGTAGTATTGGGTCATAGTCACGGCAATTCGGTGATGTTTTCGGCACCAAATCGCATATTTCCCGATAAAATATGGCATATGGAAGTAAATAACGTCTACAAAGGTGATATTTCACAGTAATAAAGAAGTATTTGGTTCATAACTGGATCGTATGGGGTAGTATTGGGTAGAATTGGGTGGTATTGGGTAGTATTGGGTAGTATTGGGTAATTAGACGCGCCCCTTAGCGGTACATCTTTCCCCCAGTGTTTACACCGGAAGCGACGTTATGGTGACCCAAATCAGGAACCAGTCTACTTCTAAAAAGAGTTCAGCATTTTCAATCCACTCCAAAGACTTCATTAATGCATTGAACTTTCATTTGTGAAATACATAAAAAAATCTAATCATTCTGGTTAAATATCAATATAGACTTAACACTGTTTAAGTTACAAGATTGTTGCGGATATCTAGAAACGTCTTCCATGTAGTATCCTCGGGTTACCGGTTTCCGCGCACTTAAGAAGCATCCGCGATTTCGTACTCATATCGGCAGAAAACTGTTGAAATCACGGATGACTGTCATAAACATGTTAAAATCTACTAATAGAAACAAAAAACTAGCAACATAAAACTGTATTTTTAAAAAATCAGAACAAACAATTTTTAACAAATTTCTCCCGTCGGAAGTAGCCGTCATATGTTTCCGTTTGTCTATTTTGATTTAGTGTTCAAAGAAAGATAACTCGAATACACTAAAAAGAACTCCGGCAAGAACAAAAGCTGCGTTTGGAATACAAAAAAATATCTTTGATCGTCAAATTAATTATCAAAATAAGTTTTTTTAAATTTCACATTTTTAATTGATTTTTCAAGATGTCAAATTGAACGAAATCATGTATTTTTTTAAATTATTTATTATATTTATTTAGTTATGATATAGAATCTGTTATTATTTTTTTCTGCAGTTTTATATCGGTGTTGGTTGATGGTAAGTTATTTCTCTTTTTTTTTCTGTTTAAAATAAGTGAAAATTGGAAGTTCATTGCATTACAAGGTTTACATTTCATTAAAAACACTGTTTATCGATATAAGATGTCTCCTTGGCTCTTCGGAAGTGGAAAAAAGTCGGAGTGGAGATCTAGATGTGGCCATATTTGCATACAACATTTTCTTACGTTTGTCAGACTACAAAAAAGACCGGTTCATGAATGATATATATCATTGTTTTTTCAGATATGGGCTCATTTTGAGCAAGATAAAAAGTGCATTAAGCAATACTGCATATTTATGCGTGGTTTTTTTAATCGGTAATTATTTCTTATGTTTTCCGGACGAACTTCCGGTAATTTTTGTGGCAGTTTACAGACGATGGCCAAACGTCTAAAATGTCCTTGTGGTGTGTCCAGCAGGTCACGTAATTACGAGTTATAGCTTGATAAAATGGCTGCGCGTAAATACATAACGCGCGGAAACTGATGACTAGACGATATAATTGTAACTACAACCCTTACCCGTGCCATCCGTTTACTGACAAGCAGGAATGCAGGGCGTCATATACAGATGTATAGCAAATTAAGAATATGTGATATGATCTTGTTTTTTTTCTTTTTGTGATGACATGAATTCGATTATTTGATGTCACAAAATGAACCTATATTTCATGATAAAATCAATAAGGATTATGTCACAATTTCTTTTCAATAATATGAAATTCGAATTGGTGACATATATATTTCATATTTAAGCAGGAATTTTGATATGATATACATAGAGAATAATACATGCCTTTTTACATATCACACCCAGTATCAACCCGAGACTGCAATATCAGCCCAAGGGCCGAAGGCCCGAGGGCTGATATTGGTCGAGGGTTGATACTGGGTGTTATATGGAAAAAGGAGTGTTTTATTCTGTTTATTACATACTTACTAATAAAAACTACTATCTTATGATTTGTTTTTATTTTTGAAATATTGAAAAACGATTTTTTTTCCAAAAGGGGTGTGATATGGATTTTGCGGGCTGATACGGGTTTTGGGGGGTGATACGGCGAGGGCTGATATGGGTTAGAGCAATTGTGTCGTATCGCATATACAAAAAAAAAAAACGTATTTATTAGTGAGTATGTAATAAAATACGATATATCAGACTACCTTATATGTCAGATTTAATATATAACATATCAAAACGGCTCGGCTCCCTATTATTATGATAGTATGCACGGGTACACTAATACACGGAGGGGCCATGTCAGTAATCACAGCTAGCCTGATATAAAACCAAACACTTTTATATACAGTAGTTCGGCAGGTTCAAAATCTACAGTGTATTTCAGATTAAACATGTAAAATATCATTATTTATAATTTACTACATCAATGACTTATCTGTCAATAGGACGCCAGGCACGTAAATGCCTTTATATGCGCTGATAAGCAGGTGAATGTGCCAAATTTTAATACAGAAAAACGAAAACAAAACAAAAACACTGCTTGTTACAACTTCTTGTTTCCCTACCAAGACCCTGCCCTGGACCTGGACCTAAATGAATTCACTCCGAACAAGGGCTAGCTACGCCCTGTACGCTAAACCTAATACATGTAAAACCAAATCAGACATCATATAGGAACCATACGCTATTCATCGTCAAAAAAATAATTTGATATAGATTAAATTTCCTTAAAGGAACTAGTATACGAATTAACTGCTAAAATCTCTGTTGTCTTTCAAAAAACACAAGTTTAAGATTGAGTTTACTTTTAAAAACGAAAGGGGCTGGTAAATGTACGTGTACAGTTATACATTGTGTACGTGTTCAGTGTTAATATCTAAAGGGAATCGCAAAGATACAGGTACATACAGTAGTATACAATCAATCAAAAGTGCACACGTACAATGTACTCTGGACATTGACCGATCTTTGTACACTGTGTATATAGTCAGACTACAGTGTATATTGGTAGAACCTCATATCTGGGATTTAGTTTGGGCGCGATATTTAAAACATTGGTACTTGCTTCTAAATATTTTCTTCGGTTTGGTAAGTATGGTTTGTAGAAAGGTTCATATAGCACCGCCAGTTACGTATGTATGTATGACGTTTCTATGACTATTATGGAACAAATGTATTAACACTGCCACCTCCATTAGACAATGACCAATAAAGTGTATGTACACAACATGTGTAAACTTATGTCTGTAAAATCGGGACTTAGTTGTTTTACATGTACGAAATGACGAATAAAACCGAAAAATCAATTCGGCTTCCCTTGGTTTAATACCATTTTTATACTGTGCACGAGTCTACGAGCCCCGTCATCTCGATTTGGAACTGGCCCGCTGCAGCGTATACATATGGATTATTTATCATCCACTTAAAATGATTGCTCTCTCTGTCCAGCACTTTGGAGTTATCCCAATCAATGACACGATTTTGCTGTGTGGCACGGTATGTGATTACCGATGCATTGATCTGGGACTTTCTTTCTCCCATGGGGTTCCGTATCTTTCCGGTGTTGACTCATTTTTAGTCAGATACCAAATCGCCATCCAGCTTCTCCGATATACGATACGCCCCAATTCTTGTATTCGATTCTGTTCACGCATTCTGATACTTTTTTTCTTTGGTTATTTGTACGAAGCGTTCTTGCAGGGGTTCGCAGCTGTTGCTACAGTATGCCATGACCGCTATACATTCTCTGAATGGTTTCGGATATAAACGGGACGACGGCCTGACCTATCATTTTATTCTTATCCATGACTTGCATTTTCTTGCCCTTCCTCTTACTTTGACAGTGCTTTTATACCCATTTGAGGGCCCATTCCGGAAATCCACATGTTTTCGTTGCAAAAGCAGGCGCGTAGCTACCATGTAAGCCAATAAGCCCGGGCTTGCACATGATTTTGACAAGTAGGTTTTCATGACGTTATTTTTTCTTGTTGATACTATAAAGCGGAGTTTAAGTTTTGAATATATAGTATACATATGTAATTCCTCATATATGATACATTGTTAATAGTTAGTACAAAAATGTATGAAGTTTAGAAATGTCCATTGCATTAATGGACAGTTCCAGGCGGAACTAAACTGCTCGATTGAGTAAATTGAGAAACTCTCGCCTGGCGCAAACGACTCCGAGTATGGCACAGTGGACACAGACAATCAATGTTTTTTTTTATTTTAAAGAAAATATCAATTTGGGGCACGTTCGGCCCCTTTTGCCGGGGCACATTCGGCCACCCCGAATGCAACTGTTATTGTGCCAAGTGACGTCACTATTGATAACGTCACCCAATTGACCACAAAAATAATATTTTTACGTCGCAAAAATTAAGTATTTTTTTCTTTGTATTCACTGATTTGTTCTCCAACTTATTTTCCAACAGAATTGAATGAAATTCCGTACACTTATTAGTAAATTGTCTTCTCTATCCTTCATGCCATACTTGCCCTGTTTTTTGATATCATTAGCAGGCGCGAGCATGGGGGGGGCGGGGGGCTGCCTTCGGCAACCCCATATCGGGGCTTACACATGGTAAAGGGGCTAGCTACGCGCCTGCAAAGTGATGTAATTCTGCTATGACTGTTTGTCCTGCTCGTTCTGTGACAACAAACGTACCATGCCAAACTTCTAGTACAAAAGACAGCGAGATATCAGATATTGATCCGTATGTTTTTTTCTTCTTTAGATCAATGCCTTCACTGTTCTGTCATCTTTCCTTACCAATAGGATAAATAGGAAGGACATCGTGCCGTTGATTTCTTCATAACATGTGCATTTAGTGCATTCGCAGATTATTTTTTATTATCATTTTTATTGGTATATACTGTATAACCCCAAAATAATCCTGATCATTACCTAAATATCCCACTTGCGTAGATTCTGTATACTGTAGCAAACCATCGATTCTAAACAAAATCGATTACAACATTGAATCTATCTTTAAGAATTTACCCTTCGTGTTACTGACTAAACTGCAAGCTTAAAGCTTTCTTCTTATCAGGGAAAAATCAATTTCTAATTGTAACCCTTTATGACAACAAAGCTATGTTATAAGCCGCTTTGATGCCATGCCAAATGACAGATGAAGGTTGCTTTACAGAAGATGTGGCACGTTCACCTGAAAATATGGCATGCCTCAGTGATTATGACTATCAATCGTTATATTTATACATTACAAGGATAGGAGATCCCGGTACTTACTGTTTTATGTACAGAAATCCATTACCTATTGAAATTCAGTTTGAATCAACTCATTGCAATTTTCAAAAACATAAT